GAAGGATCCCTTGTATTTCCTCTTTCATTTTGCCTGGAGGAGGAGAATTGTAGGCATGTCTGGGATCACAGACAGCAAATGTGTGGAATTTGGCAGTTAGGAGAGGGGCCGAAAGGAGCAGCCCTCATTTGGTCAGTGGCATGGAGCTGGCTCTCCACCATCCGCACCATCACACCTCCATCGCCATCACCGGCCTCCACATTGCCCCGCTCCCTGTCTGCATCTCCAGCCCTACTGCCACCATCCCTGCCTTCCCAGCTCCAGTACCATCCTCCATGGGGTCGCCCCCAGGAGCCGAGTTAGAAGGAGCCGCTTGCCCCCACCCCTCGGCGGGAGGGGTACTGAGCAGATGGCTTTTCTCTCCCTGTCAGCTTCTGAACTCAGGAAATGAGAAACACATCCGGGCTTCTTGACCACACATTACTCTCTCCCTGAGACAGCAGCTTCTATGTTTGTAAATAACATACTGGCTTTCAGCCCCGCTCTGCACCCTGCCTGGAGCCCCACAGACACCAACTCTGGGCTCCCAGGCCACCTCTCTCCCTGCCTGTTCACAAACTACAGATCATGCACATGTATGCACCCAGGAAGGTTCCATGTGGAGCGTGGAACGCGGGGAGAGTGCTGTAGCCAAGCCCTACCGTGGTCAGGTGAGGGGAAGTCAGCCCTAACCCAAGACCCTAGGAGGGGCGTGGGAGGAGGGGTGATTCGGGACACCTGTCACCAGGGCTCAGTGACCCTATCCGTGGTGTGTATGGATTAACTGCCCCCTGGCCATGATGCAGCCCCCGGCCCCTCCATCCTCACCAGTGAGACCCAAGACTGCACACTCTCTGGATCTAAAATGATGTAAGTCTGAGTCCTCCTTACCAGGAGCCAAGCCAAGGAGACCTGAACTCTGCAGGGGGAAAGGGGCTGGTCAGGGAGGACACAGTAGATGGAGTGGCCAGGCCAGGAGGAGAATCAGAGCTATCAGCATTTTCTGCATCTGTCCCAGGAGATACGACCTCCTCACTCAGAGCAGAAGCAGAGTGTGGGGGGTCTGGCAGTGACCTGGAATCTTAGTGTGAGTCCAGGGTGGATCCAGAAATCCACATCTGGAGTTGTTGGAATGCCTTTCACCCCCAAAGCTTGCCAGGCACACCTCAGCCTGCAGGCTGTCCTATACTCCCCCTTCCCAGTCCTCCCTGGAACCCCATCCCCGGCCCGTGCCCCTCACTGTGGACCCCTGGACCCAGTCATCTACTCAATCTCCCCTGTCTCTCTGGGTCCCCAGCCTGGGGGCACCCACGGTGTCCTGCAGCACAGGGATCCATAAGCGGACTCGGAAAGCCAGGACTTGGTGATGCTGCTGACCTGGTAGCAGTGGTAGCCACCAGCTTTCCATGGGCTCCACCTCCACCAAGCTTTCCATGCAGTGCCTCATTTAACCCTCACACCAGCCCTGTTATTCATTTATTTTTATCCTGGGCAGCACTGCACAGCTTGTGGAATCTTAGTCCCCCAGCCAGGGATCGAACCCGTGCCCCCTGCAGTGGACGTGCAGAGTCTTAACCACTGGACCACCAGGGAAGTCCCCGAAGCAGCCCTCTTGTTGTCCTGAGTTTACAGGTGGAAAGCTGAGGCACACGGGTTAAAGAACTGTACCAAAGATATAAAGCCAGTTGGTGGTGGAGGCGGATTCAAGGTCCAGGGCTGGTGGCAGAATCTCCTTAGATGAGGAGAGGGTGCAGGTGCAGGGAGACGTGATGGGCACGCCCCAGGCCAGGGTGCTGCGCTCTAAAGCAAGTGGGGATGCACTTGGTGTAGGGCTGCCCTCCGTTCCTTGGGAAAGTGCTTTCTTTATATGTATATATATTTGGCTGCATGAGGTCTTAGTAGTGGCATGCAGGATCTTTTAGTTGTGCCCTGTGGGATCTAGTTCCCCAACCAGGGGTCGAACCCAGATCCTCTGCATTGGGAGCAGAGTCCTAGCCACTGGACCACCCGGGAAGGCCTGAGAGTGCTTTCTTGACTGACGTGAACTCTTCTTGCTGCACTGGCAGTTCTGCTGTGATTGGGTGACAGACAAATGGGTCATACAGTTTAGAGAGGCCAGAGATGGTGCCCCCGGCCTTGTGGGTGAAGGAATCTGGGGGCTATCTGATGCCTGAAGCACATACCCTCCCCCTTCCTGGGCATCCCCAGACCCACCGGGAAATGAGAGTTCAGGGCAGAGAATGCGCCTCCTCTTGGCCACAGAGAGAATGCAGTAGGTAGAGGCTGAGCAGATGCGTTGGGCCTGTGAGAGGATTAGGACTGAGATCCTGGTCCTCACCCAGCTGCACACCTGTCTGTCTGTCAGTCTGCCAAATGGGCAGTTTTCAACCCATGACTGCCTGCCTGCCTTTAGTCCAGGGCACCAGCTGTGACATTCAGTCACATCAGTGGGCTAGTCTGTCGGTGGAGAGGGCCGGTGTGCCAGGCTTTCCCCAAGACTGGTGGAAGTTGGAGGTTTCCGTCAGCTGGGGGAAAAGAAAAAAAGAAAAAGTATGGTAAATATCTGTTTGTCTTGAAAGAGATAAAGGTGGACAGAAGGAGAAGGGGTGGTGGGGAAGGGGGCTGAGGGAGTAAGAATAAGATACAGGAAAGATGGTACTGACAGTGGTTATGGGGCTGGTGTCCGTGATGGTGCTCACATTGCCTTTGGTGGTTATGGTGCTGGTGAGGGTGGTGATGGCAATGGTGGTGGTAACACTGGAGGTGCTGGCGATGGTCGTGGTGGTCACTGTGCTGGTGGAAAAGGCACTGGTGGTGGCGATGGTCATGGTGGTCACTGCACTGGTGGAAAAGGCACTGGTGCTGGCGATGGTCGTGATGTTCTACCAGCTGTGACGGGGCTGATGGTGACTGTGCTGGTGTTAATAGTGGTTAGTGCTCATGGTGGTGGTGGTGGTATTGGTGGTGGGGGGGGTTGTGTTAGTGTTGGTGGTCAAGGTGATGATGGTGCTAGCTGACAGAGGTGCCAATTGCAATAATGGAAATGGTGGTGAAAGGGTGCTGTCGTGGGGCTGGGATCAGACCCCTCAGCAGCCTGGGTCCACAATGCCAGAGGCACAGAGAGAACCTCAGGTTAGTCTGGGAGCTCCCTGGATTAGGGCAGACCGGAGTTGCCTCCCTCAAACCCCAGTTCTCAGGGCCACTTCTGCCCTAGTCTGCTCAGTCAAAGCTGGAGGTGGGGAAAGTGAGAGGAGCTGTAGGGGCCAGCAGCAAACACTGAGAATCTCTCAGCCCTTCCTGGGTACTGGGTCCAGCTGCGATCTCAGGGTCCAACTCAGATGCCAGTGATATGCGCGCAAAAGCACGGATACCCACAGACATACAGGCTAATGAGCAACCCTTATCACACACTCGCAGACGCGCACACGCGGACCTTTACCCAGAAACACCTTCAGACACTCAGGCTCATGTCCCAGATGTGCACGCTGGAGATCCCCACCTGAGAATATACAGAGACAGGGGCACACGCAAGTGCACACATCGCCAGACCGCGTGTGCGCGGCCACTCAAGGATGTGCAGCCACGCACGCGCACGCGCGAAGACGCGCACGCGCCTCCGCTAAGTGAAACCAGCAGAACCCTCGTCCGACCGAGCCAATTGGAGACTCCTTGGCTCTAGAAACCCTTGCTGCTGCCACCAAGAGACTCGGTCAATTAACTTCTCCCTGCAGCGGGCTCCCTGACCCGCCCGGCCGGCCGGCCCGCCCCTAGCGCGGGTACCCGCCCCTTCCCCGGCCGCCGCCTCCCTCCCCCGCCTCCTCTGGGCTCTCCCGCCCTGCCAAGCTCCGTGCAGGCTGAAGGGACCCGGCCCTGCCAGGGGACGTCTGAATAGATGCAGCTCCGCCGCTGAAGGTCTAAGAGAACCAGGCTCTGCCCTGTAGAGTCTGAGGGGTCACAGCCCAGCTCTGGGTCTGAGTGGTCTCATGGGACCCGTCCCCCAGTTCTGGGACTCTGCAGGGACGCGGCCCTGTCTTGGAGGGTGAAGGTGGGGTCTGAGGGGATGCTTTAACCTCTTGTGGTCCCTCCTGGCAGTGGCGGGGCTGGAGCACAGAGTTGTTCCCAGGGCAGCTGCCTTTAACCTCTGACTCCCAACCCTAAGTCAGGGAAACAGGCTCAGAGTGAGTCCCGCCCTCACTCCCCCCTGCCATGATGCTCTCGTTTCCATCCTTAAAATACTGCCAGTGAATCTAGCGCGTGGCAGCCAGTACCCAGGGTGTGCAGTGTTGGAAGGAAAGGAAGGAAGGGCATCCCGGGCAGAGGGGAGAGCAGGAACCGAGGTCTGTCCACATCAGCAGAACACAGGGTCTACAGGGATGGAGGAAAGCTTCCAGATAAGCTATTGATGGGGGTGACTCCCACCCACAGCCTGCACGCGAGTGCCCTGCCCAACCCAGACCACTTGCCAGCAGTTTCTCCATCCCCTCCCTCCTGGGACCTCAAGGGTGGGAGGGGCCGAGGCACTCTCCATTCTGGGGGAGAACACTGACTGGGGAGAGGGCCAGGATGGAAATCGGTGACTCCTAAGGTCCTGAGGGCACTAGGACTTGCAGGAATCCAGGCCCCCCATTTGTTTCCCCAGAGTTCGCCACCCCTTACCCATCCCCTCCCTACCCAGGGTCCCCAACAGACGGCAAGATCCGGTGAGCATCCATCCTGGGACATTCCATCCCTTTCCCACGCACCCTTGGGGAACAGACTGGACAGCAGCTATCAGAGGCTGCCTTCTATGGGGTTACTCTCGGGCAAGTGGGGGACAGCCCCCCTTCCTTCCCCTTTTTTCCCTCTGGTAGGTCAGGCCGTTCCCCTCGAAGCCAAGGCTGCCTGTCTGTAAAATGGAGCTACATAAGGTGGATTCCCCACATTCTTGTGTGTGTGTGTGTCCCTCAAGGAGGCTGGGATAGTTGTGGCGTCCGCCACTCCGTGGGGAAGTGCTGCCTGCAATCTGACCTTCCGCTCGGTAGGTGGATGCAGATGACGTCATGACCAAAGAGGAGCAGATCTTCCTGCTGCACCGTGCCCAGGCCCAGTGTGAGAAGCGGCTCAAAGAAGTCCTGCAGAGGCCAGGTGGGGCGGGGCCAAAGGAGGGTCTGTGGGCAAGGGCGGGAGACACGGGCCGGAGGAAGGTGGGCGCCCAGGAGGCAAAAGCGGGTGGCGCCAAGGGAGGGCGGGGCCAGGTAAAGGGGGCCAGGCCACAGTGAGGACCAAAAGTGGGGTGAGTCAGGTGAGTTGAAAGTCAGCAGGTTCAGAGATGCTCTGAGCCTCCCCTCCCAGAGCCGGGATAGGAGGGCATGAAGGCAGCCACAGTCTGAATCATCTCTAACGCGTAGATGTGGTGAGGCCCACCAGGATCAGGAGCGCTGGAGTGGGCCAGGACTGCCTCCTAGAGGAGAGAGCAGTAGCCAGTGCAGGTCCAGAAGCATGAACAGGTCTTTGAAAGAGCCCCCCCACCCCCCCCGCCCCGGGCACAGGGCAAGGCAGGGTGTCCAGGCTCAGGAGAATGGGGCTGGGGCTGGAAGGGAAGGAGAGTAGAGGAATACGGATGGGCATCCATGTCAGTCATGGTCACTGTCCAGTAGAGAGCTCTTGAAGGGGTAAGAACACTCCCTCCTACCAACACAGCATCTCCAGGGGACCCCGGCCACGGTCAAACTGGGAGGGGCAGTCACCTGACCTCACAGCTCCTGCCCCAGTCTCAAGCTGGTCTCTTCCTTGAGTCCATTTCCTGAAAGCGGAAATGGGGCTTCATGAGCAACCAGCCAGCCTCTGACTTCTGTCTGATGAATCCCCTTGACCTGGAAGAGACCCAGACCCCACCTGATTGGCGGGCAAGAGCAGCTTCCTCCCCTGCACTGACCCTCAGACCCCTGGGAGAGAGTGGTGATGTACACCCCGGATGCAAGCACACAGTGACATCCCCTGGAGCCCACAGCCCTTGCTTCCAGTCACAGGGACTCACATGGTCTCTGCCGTCAGAGTCCTGTCCACATTGGCCCCACCAGTGGCTCCCTGGTCCCCTGCCCCAGTCACATCAGGGGCTGGGAGGGTCTGAACCCAGCCCTCTTTCTGGTTGTAGAAGCCTGGAGGTGCCCCCCTCTGCTGTCTCTGTTTAACCATGGAGGCCTTCCCTTCTCACTCCCTCTCATCTTGCTACCCCCACCCTACTGATGCCCCCAGGTTTAGGTGGATTTGAAAATGGGCACAGCCATTCTATCTCAGCCCAGGGTGTCTGCAATTAGCATCCCATTGTTGCCACAAAACCTGACATGGGAGGGCCAGGAGGCTGCAGCTGAAGGTCAGATAAGGAGGAAGACTTTTCAGCGAGGAAGAGAGACCTCAGACATCAAGCAGAGGGAAAGGCCAGGTCCCATCTGAGATGGAGAGGCTCCAGGGTCCCTTGTGGAAGCTGTGGACCCCTTATTCGGGTACCCCAGGGCAGGGGATGGGGTAGGTGGGCTCATCGGCCGTCTCTTGACATCTGCACACTCTTGCTCTTGTCTTTTATACCACTGGCTTCTAGACCTACAGGGGCGCTCTGACCAGACTTCATTTTTGCTCTTTAACCTCTCTGCTGACATAACCACCACGGTCTGCGCTTGCCATGCGCCCCCTGGTGGGCTTTGGCTACAAGTGCTGAATCAGACAACACTTCTGCCCGCATTTACTGCTCAAACCACTAGTTGATCCCACACCTGAAAGGCGTTCGCTCCCCTTTGAGCCCCCTGTGACTGTCTACATGCCTCCTGATTACTTCTGTACCTGGCAAGCACTTTGCTGTTTGCAAGGCACGTCTCTACCTGTCGTCAGGCTGGGTGTCAGCAGCGCAGGGGACAACCCCCATTGTGTGGAGGGGTAGTCCGAGGCAGGAGGGGACCCTGGGTCTCCTGTAGTAGCAGCATTGTTGACAGCCGTAACTGCCCTGATTTCTCCAGCCGACATAATGGAGTCAGACAAAGGATGGGCATCCGCGTCCACATCAGGGAAGCCCAAGAAAGAGAAGGCATCTGGGAAGCTCCACCCTGAGTCCGAGGAGGACAAGGAGGTGCCCACCGGAAGCAGGCCCCGAGGTACGTCTGTGTTTCCCTGCAGCCGTCTGATGGCTCTGCCACCTTCATGTGATGTCATGCTCCTCGGCTCTTGGAGGAAGGGAGGTGCTGGGAGGAGATGGAGTGGAGGGGGCAGGCAAGCTGGATGGACTTGGACCCCGAGAGGTGGGCAGAGAACTTGACCCACACACCTCAGGGGTAGACCCTGGGTTATGGCCCCTCCCATGGAGAGAGATGACAGAGAACCCAGAAAAGAGAGGAGCAGGGAGAGACGTGGAGACATAGAGACAGAAATAAAGAGAGGCAGGGGGAGACGGGACCAAGAGGCACTGGGACGGGGACTCAATATGTCAGGGGAGGTGCATCAAGACACACAGTGGGGTGGGACAGAGGGGGGGTGCAGGACAGGAAGGTGGCTGTGAAGGGGTGGGGCCAGAAGGGGGAGGAGGAGGAGGGCAGAAGAGAAGAGAGGGAGGGACATGCGGGCTGCATTGTCCCTGGGGGAGGTAAGGAGAGACAAACGTGGAACCCAGGCTGCAGCCACAGGGCCGGTTTGAACCGGCTGGGTGGGCAGCAGATTCCAGATGGGCCACATCTGGGAGGCTGTGGTCACCCTGTGGCTCCCCAGGGATCAGAGGGAATTGTAGGCCTGGCTAGGCGGGGCTGGGAATATGGTGCCCAGGACAGAGAGTCTTTCACCAAGCCAGGGTGGGTCTGGCCATCAAGGCAACCTTCCAGGGTGGCTGGAGAGTCCTGTGGTTGGAGCTCTTCAGGGGGAGAGAAGGGAGAGAAGGGAGCTGGGGGTGGGAAGTGGAAAATTCAGAGGCTGGAGTCTTTCCAAGGTCACTTAGCATCTCTGCTGTGAGGCTGGAGCCCCAAAGTGGGATGTGTCGCCCTGCCTTGAATGCCACAATTAGCACTTATGGATTTGGGGGATTATATGTCCCTCCATGAGTGGTCACCAGAGTCTGAGAGCAGGTGCTCGGGGCGGGTCTCGGGTAGTGGTGGAAGTACAGATCAATCCCAGTTCCCCAGTGAAGGAACTGAAGTGCAAAGAAGGTGGACACCTGCATGAGGTGGGCAGCTCTTCAGGAGTCCAGCTGGCACTGGAAATGAGAGTTCCTGCCTCCAGTCCATGGTCCTTGGGCATGGATCACTCTGGAAGCATTCTCAGCTGCAAGAGAGTTACTCTGGGACTTGCCCTTCTCCAGGGACACCTGGAAGGTGGGACCAAGAACAGAGAGAAAAGAGGGAGACCTGGCCAGGGGCTGAGAACTTGAGGAGGGCAGGGCCCTGGGCTGTATGACCTTGGCAGATCACTCGCCTCTCTTGGCCTCTGCTAGCCAATCTAGAAAATGGGGCCACTGCCAACACCCGCAAGGAGGGGCGATAGTGAATTCTACGAGGCCAGGGGGTACAGGGCACAGTCAGGAGTAAGAGCTCAATACATTCTCTCCAGAACACTCCAAGCCTGAGTTCTGCAGTCTTCGGGTGCCCCCTGAAGGAGCCAGTGACCACAGGTGTGTTTATTCCTCTGGGTCACTAACGGTGGATCTGACAGGTGTCCTCCACCTTTTTCTGTCTGTGTCTGTGGGCACAGGGCGCCCCTGCCTGCCGGAGTGGGACCACATTCTTTGCTGGCCGATGGGGGCTCCAGGGGAGGTGGTAGCCATGCCCTGTCCCGACTACATTTACGACTTCAATCACAAAGGTAAGGCAGGCTGGAGTAGGGTTGGGAACCCATGGGCACCGTCAGGACTTGGAGCTCAGGGGTTCAGGGATTCCAGACCTGACTGCCCTGACGCCCCCTGCGGACCTGCAGGCCATGCCTACCGCCGCTGTGACCGCAATGGCAGCTGGGAGCTGGTGCCGGGGCACAACCGCACGTGGGCCAACTACAGCGAGTGCGTCAAGTTCCTGACCAATGAGACGCGCGAACGGGTGCGAGCCTTTCCCCCATCACCTGACCCGGATCAGGCTACCCGACCACCAACCCCCCCCCCCGTGACCTCTGACCTAGTCCTGACACCTCCAGCAAACGTACCTGTGCTCTCCGACCCTTAACCTGGTGCTCACCCGAGTCTCAGGGCTCTGACGGTAACTCCCCACCTGCGCAGGAGGTGTTTGACCGCCTGGGCATGATCTACACCGTGGGCTACTCCGTCTCGCTTGCATCTCTCACCGTGGCGGTCCTCATCCTGGCCTACTTTAGGTGGGCGGGGCGAGGAGTGGGGCGGGGGTCAGTGGCATGGGGACGTGGGCGGGGCCGAGGGGAGACAGTGGGCGTGGCCAAGGGCATGGTTGGGTAGGGCCGAAGAATGGGGCCTCCCTACCCCTCCGTGTACCCCCTGCCCGCCCAGCGCGCTCCCCCGTGCTCCCCCACCCACCGTGCTGTCGCGCGCCCTGCAGGAGGCTGCACTGCACACGCAATTACATCCACATGCATCTGTTCCTGTCCTTCATGCTTCGCGCCGTGAGCATCTTTGTCAAGGACGCGGTTCTCTACTCGGGCACCGCCCTCGACGAGGCTGAGCGCCTCACGGAGGAAGAGCTGCGCGCCATCGCCCAGGCACCGCCGCCGCCCGCCGCCGCCGCCGGCTACGTGAGTGCCCGCCTCAGGCGGCCCGCGCCCGCCCGCCCGGGGCCCCTCGCCACCGCCCGCCTCGCAGGAGCCCCACGCACTTCGCCCTCACCTGTCTCCTGCGACCACGCGCGCGCTTCGGGCGGCTCACACCCACCCTTTGCATCCTTCCAAGCCCTGTTGCCTAGGGCTTTGTGAATTCCCTCCCCGCGCACCCTGCACTTTCATCAACTCTCCTGCCTCGGCCCAGGCCCCCAACCACCCCACCTTTTCTCCATGATCCCCGCGTCCCCACCACTGTCCTGAGTGTCCTCCTGTCTTCTCAGCACACACTCCTCGGCCTCTGCCCTTAGTAGAGCTTGTCCGATCTTAGCAGCATCCCCTAGCACTGCCCGCTCTCCGTCCCTCCCAGCCCTCCCCAGATGCAGGCCCTGCGCTCTGGCTAACATCAGCTGCTTTCCTAGGTGGGCTGCCGGGTGGCTGTGACCGTCTTCCTTTACTTCCTGGCCACCAACTACTACTGGATTCTGGTGGAGGGGCTGTATCTGCATAGCCTCATCTTCATGGCCTTCTTCTCAGAGAAGAAGTACCTCTGGGGCTTCACAGTCTTCGGCTGGGGTACGCAGGCACACGGGCAGGGTGGGACCATGGACGGCAGGGTCAGAGAGTGCCACTGAGGGGAAGACACCCACACGGCACGTCCTGGGCTGGATGTGGGGCAGTAGATGCCCCACAGGCTGACCGTCCCCCCACCCCCCGCCCCAGGCTCAGGGAACAGGGCTTGGCCAGAGGTTCTCTTGGGGTTGGCTCAGCCTGAAGTTGGGGCTCTCCTGGAGGCAGGTTCACCTGGAGTTGAGGCTCAGGCCAGGAGAGGGAAGGGCAGGCAATTTTCAGGTCAAGACTCCACTCAGGATCAGAGTGGACCTTGGGTCAGAGGTCAGTGTGGGGCTGGAGTTGGAAGGCAGCTATGCTCATCACTGTATCACCAGTACTGGAGCTGGGATCTGGAACCCTCCCTCCACCCTGAGTCCCGTTTCTCCACCACTCCCCACGCTGCGTGGAGCTATGTAGGCCTCTGCCACCTCGTGCACAGAGTTCGTGGCCCAGAACTGCAGGCCCTGGCTCTATAGCATCCTCTGGGCTTCGACAGCCCCTCTGCAGAATGGTGGCTGGGGCTCTGCCCTCCTCCCCGACGGGCTTCAGGATCGAGTTACCGATAATTGTCCATTATTGTTGGCAGCTCCAGAGCTTGGCCGCGCTCCGGGGCAACTGGCCAGACTGCAGAGGGGCAGGCTGGGTGGGTGGAGCCCTCCCTGCGTTCAGCACCTCAAGGCCCTCAGATCGATAGTCCTAGCCTCCCTGCTCCTTGGTGGACACTCTGACCTTGACCTCACCCATGGCAAGCTCCAGAGTTGCAGGCTGATGCAGGCTCTGGGGTAGAAAGTGTCCACACACAGATAGGGGAACACACAGCACTTTGTGGTGCAGGGACATCACAGCTCTTTTCCTTGCCCAAACCCAAGTCATGCCCTGCCCCTCCCAAGGGTGCACCAGACCTGGAATGAAGTGGGAGGGGGTGGAGATTTGGGAATGGGGCTCCTTCCTAGAGTAAAACTCACTCAGAGGTACCATGTACCATCTGAACTGGCTCAGACCTAGGCACACTGAGATTCCTCTATAGCCCCTGGATCAAGAACCCTCACACTATCCAACTTCATCCATGGGGACTTTTCAAAGCTGGGGGGATGCTGGAACAGAAGACCCCTGATTGTAAGCTCCCCTCCATAGGGAGCCCCCAGCCCAGAACAGCACCCTTTAGGGGAGGGGAGGGCAGAATGGACTGGGTGTGGATAAATTAGTGATCCCTTATTTCACCAAGTGCCCAACAGGAGTGCATGTGTGTGGTAGAAGATACAGAACCACGATGAGGGCAGAGGGCTGAACTGGGTCCTGGGGGCTGGAGCCCTGGTGGGGGCTGTGGGGACCGCAGGGCAGCGCGTGTAAGAGCGGGGCTGTGTCCCCGAGCAGCCCGTGTGCCCGGGGGGTGGGGGGAGGGTCAGGGGCAATGGGGGGCTAAGCTGGGGTCACCAGGGATGAGGAGAATGGCCCAGAAGGTGGACTGAGGAGCGAGACATAGTGGACAGCAGCTACAGCCCCTCACACCCTGTCCCGCTCTGCCCACAGGTCTGCCTGCCATCTTTGTGGCTGTGTGGGTCGGTGTGAGAGCTACCCTGGCCAACACCGGGTAGGTCCAGGTGGACAAGGGGGCAGGAGGCTGGGACACAGACCAGAGACACCCCTGGTACCCTCTTCCTCCGAGGACCGTATGAGGGGCACCTCCTGTCCCCTGGCCCTGAGCGGCCCCGATTCCAGGAGTTTTCAGCCCAGCTTCAAGCTGGGTGCCCACTAAAGGTCACCAGTGGCCACTGTGGAAGGGGCTCTGTAGGTGGCCTCGGGCCCGACCACATTCCCACTCCCCTGTCCTGCGCTCTGGGGCAGGGGCGTGCAGCTGATGTCAGAGCCGCCCTGGAGCCTCCTTGTGGGGAGTGTGGGGGCTGACGGCCTCGATCTTCTCAGGTGCTGGGATCTCAGCTCTGGGAACAAGAAATGGATCATCCAGGTGCCCATCCTGGCCTCTATTGTGGTGAGCAGGGGGCCTCAGGGCCGGGCGGGAGTGTGGACCCTGGGTCCTGGTGATCAGCCCCTGACAGGGACCTATAGGGGGTCTCCTGGACCCCAGGGCTGGAGCCACAGGGCTGGGTGGGAGTGTGGACCCCAGGTCCCAGCGATCAGCCCCTGATGGGGACCTATAGGGGCTCCCCTGGACCCCAAGGTTAGAGCCACAATGCTAATGAGGCAGCTGACCCTCACCCCAGTCCACACGGGGAACCAAGGACCTCAGGAGCCGCCTGGGGACACGCTTTGGCAGAGCAGACCCTGGGTGGGGCTGTGGGTCCCAGAGTCCTCGCCCCTCCCTGCTGGGGCTGCGGCCTCAAGACGCACGCTGCCCTGCCTCCCTCCCGCAGCTCAACTTCATCCTCTTCATCAACATCGTCCGGGTTCTGGCCACCAAGCTGCGGGAGACCAACGCTGGCCGGTGTGACACGCGGCAGCAGTACCGGTGAGCCACGCCCGCCGCGCCCAGCCGCCTCAGCGCCCAGGGGCCGCTGACGCCCAGCGCCACGTTCAAAAGCAGGCAGAGGCCCCAGGGCTGAGCCTGGCTCAAGGAAGGGCTCAGCTCCTGACTCCCCGGCTGGCCCTGCCGGCCGTGACGGGATCTTGCCTGGCTTCTGGGGGCATCCCCAAGCCAGCCTGGGCCACTTGGTGCCAGGCCCCTGCACCCGAGCTGGGGTCTGTGAGGGCAGCACAAACCCAGACCTCTCCTCAGAGAAGCCGGTCACAGGGAGTCTGAGAGACAGGTGGGCAGTGGGTGGGCATGAGAAGGTGGACGTTTGGCTGAAACCTGAGGAGGGTCAATGGGAAGGGGAGCGCCAGCAGAATGACCAGCAGGTGCAGGGACAGGGCGACATGACTTATGGTCCGCTCTGGGACACCTCAAAATCAAGGGGCCCTATTCACACTTTGCTGAGACAGCAGAGTGTCACTGGCTTAGGTGAACTGGGCTGTCCCCCGCTACCCACGGCTGCTAGGGCTCCGGGCCTTTTAGTGGCTTCTGGAGCCTGGGGCTGGCAGGTCGAGGTGCACAGTGCCTGTTGAGGCCGAAGTGACTCCACCCTGACCCGCCTGCCCCACTGGCCCAGGAAGCTGCTCAAATCCACACTGGTGCTCATGCCGCTCTTTGGCGTCCACTACATCGTCTTCATGGCCACGCCGTACACCGAGGTCTCAGGGACGCTCTGGCAAGTCCAGATGCACTACGAGATGCTCTTCAACTCCTTCCAGGTATGTAGCCCTGTCTGAGGGTGGGAGGGACGGGTGGGCTGGGGGAGGCTGCTTCCACCCTCTCCGGATGCCTCTCTGGGCCCTGACCCACGACCCTCTCTCCACAGGGATTTTTTGTTGCCATCATATACTGTTTCTGCAATGGTGAGGTAAGCGGTGGGCTAGACTGGAGCAAGACGGGGAGGATGCAGGAGTTCCAGGGGCCGGTCGGGGGTGGGGTGGGGTGGGGTGGGGTGGAGGGAACTCCCTGGCGATCCAGTGGTTAGGATTCTGTGCTTCCACTGCAGGGGGCCTGGGTTCGATCACTGGTCGGGGAACTAAGGTGTGTGGTGTGCCCCAAAATCTAAAAATTTTTAAAAAAAATTAAAGAATAAAAAAAGGAGCGTCAGGGGCTGCCCAAGTCCTGTCCTTTCATTCTCCTGCTGGGTTCTTACTTTGTTCCTCCAAGAACATCCCCGAGGACATTCTGAAGGCAGAGAGAAGTCTTTCCAGATGATTCAGGCTCAGGATGTGTGGGCACAGTCAAGCGTTTTCTCAACCCCACGGTTGAATTGTCTGTCATCCAGTTTGAACACTCAGCCACCCTTGGGGTCATTTGAGCCTTCTACATTCTGGGTGTGTCCATTGCCTGCCGCCAGGCACCATGTTCTGAGAATGACGGGATTTTTCTTGGCCTTGAAATTTTCCAGGAATAGGGCTGAGCGTTGTTAGGGGCAGGGATGTGGGCACTGCTGGGGTTGGGGACATGTGGCAGAAGGGTCTGGGGCATACCTGACTGCTTGCCTTCCTACTGCCACCCCAGGTACAGGCTGAGATCAAGAAATCCTGGAGCCGTTGGACACTGGCACTGGACTTCAAGCGCAAGGCACGCAGCGGGAGCAGCAGCTACAGCTACGGTCCGATGGTGTCTCACACGAGTGTGACCAACGTAGGGCCCCGCACGGGACTGGGCCTGCCCCTCAGCCCCCGTCTGCTGCCCGCAGCCACCACCAACGGCCACCCGCCGCTGCCCGGCCACACCAAGTCAGGGTCCCCGGCTCTACAGGCCACACCGCCTGCCGTGGCCGCTCCTAAGGAAGATGGATTCCTCAACGGCTCCTGCTCGGGGCTGGATGAGGAGGCCTGTGCGCCAGAGAGGCCACCTGTCCTGCTGCAGGAGGAGTGGGAGACAGTCATGTGATCAGGGACCCGAGGGTTGGACCTGTGGACGTGAGGGTGGACAGGCGAACCAAGAGACGGGTTGTTGGACGGTTGCCCACTCAGGGCTGGGGCTGGGAGGACAAAACAGGAAAAAAAAAAAAAAGAAGAAAAGGGAAAAGGAAGCAGTGTCTGGCTTCCTGAGGTCTGAACTGGGACTCATTGCAGGAGGGGAGGGGCTGGGAGCCATGGGGGAGTTTTTGGTCTCATCTCAGGAGCTGGGTCTGGGAACCGCGGAAAGGGCCCAGGAGAGGCCACCGTCTAAGCCTAGAGAAGCTCTGGCCCCCAGTCTCTGTCACCCAGCGCTGACAGCAGATCCCTTGGGTCCCTGGCCACGTCCCCAAGCCTTGGGCCCTGCTACAGGGCCCCTTCCTGCCAGTCTAGTGGCCATTGTATGCCCTTTGGAGACTGGGGCATGCAGGGAACCCTTCAATCATGACACCCCAGCCCCGACCCTGTACCTGACACCCCTCTAGCCACCAGACAGAGGGTGCAGGAGCAGTGCCAAGGCCATTGGGTGAAAAGTGGGCTGGGGTCCCTGCTCTGGCTCAGGAACTGGTGGGGGGTGGGGTGTGGGAACCAGGGCTCTGAGCCCAGAGGCTGGCTGGCGTGGGCGTCTGGGTTGGTGTCTGCAAGACTCCACACATCCACTCACTATGGATCCAGCGTGGCCATTAGCATCCCCACCTGACACCCACCCAGCACATTGCCCCCTCAGCCCCTGCCGCCTGCACCCAGTCTTGGGCTCTAGAATGGCACAGGCTCTGCTCGGCCTGACAGTCTGAGAAATGACCCGACTGCACCTCCACCTTGTGTTCTGACCAGAGCAAGCTCCTTGCTCAGACCTGAAGATGGCCCTGCCTCTGGGTCTGTGCACAAGCTGGTGCCCCCGCCTAGTCCACCCTTTTTCTTATCTCCAGCTCCCATCTCGTTCTTGTCCATGGGCTCGGCATCTGGGGAGTGCTCCCTATCTCTTATCCCCACTTCTGGTTTCCCCCACCATCATGGGCTAGGAGAGAGGTCATGAGACTACGACCAGAAGCTCACTTAGGTGTTGGGTGCTCTGAGCGGCCTCAGGTCCGGCCTGCCTGCCCGTCTAGATGGAAGGGAAGGACAAACAACTGTCCAAAGGCCTGATGCACCCATGGAGTTCCTGGTGCATCTATGGAGTTCCATTTGCTCGGAATGGTGTGAGAGGCATAGGGCAGGACCTAAAGGCCACTGAGTCACCAGGCTGAGCATCAAGGACTCCTATGAATACTGGGAGCCACTGGATGTTCTGGAGGGAGAGCAAAAAGGTCTGAGCAGCGTGCTGCAGTGTCGGGGCCCAAGGAGGTTACACGGGGGTCAGGGGAGAGGTTGCCTTGTTGGGGGGGCTGGTGGCTGGGTGGGGGGGGTGGGGAAGGGGTGAGAGGTACTGCTGTTAGGAAGGGCCCTGGATGAGGTACTGGCTGGGGGAAGGAGACCTAAGCAGGACAGAAGCCCCATTCCCGCCCCCTGTCCCCAGGGGATTATGATGCCCCCACCCCCACCCCCACGCTACTTCTAGGGCTTAGCCATGGGACCTCCAGATCACTGGGCCTTCAGGGCAACTCACCCCACCCACCCCACAGGCAGTTACTCACCCCCCAGCTGGCTGGGCCTCAGGGCCCCATCTTCCAGCCCAGATTCCTCAGGAGGCTTCCAAAGTACAGTCCACAAGGCCTCCTCACCCCAAAACACTCAAACTGGGTAACTTTAGGACAGAACCTTGTTTCCCTTCAGATGGGCTCCACAGATTGGAGCCTCCCCTCAGATTTCCTCTAGAACAGGGGTTGTTAGCCTCTCCACAGACTGGGGACCTCTTCTGACCCATGACAGGGTTGTGCTTACCCATCAGACTGGACACCCCAGGACAGGGCTGTTCCTCTTTTAGGCTGTTCACACCACGCCCCACCCCCAACAGACAGGCCACCCCCCAAAACAAGGTTGTGCTCGCCCCCTCAGACTTGTTATCACTGACCCTTTAGATGACCCCCCCCACAAGTGCTTTGAGCTTTTCTTTTGGACAAAATGCCCCTGAGACGTGCTGGGTACCCCCTCAGGTTGGTATCCCCACACAGGGCCAGGTTCCCTCATATCCCCCTGAATACTTTCGCACCCAGGACAAAGCCAGGCCACCTCCTCTGAACTGGGCACAATTTTCCTCCTCAACCGGATGTCCAGGATAGAACTGGACTTCTGACATCAGTCTAAGCTCCTAGTTCAGGACAAGGTCCCCTCCCCTAGACCTGGAGCTCCTGGGCCAGGGCTGGCCTCCCCGCTCAGAGGGGCCCTGAGCCCCGCCTGAGCCATCCAGGTGTTGGCAGAGGAAGTGGGAGCCCTCAGAGGGCCTGGCAGGCTGTCAGGACCCTGTTTGCCTTGAACAGGGGCTGGAGCCAGGTGGTCATTTCTCCCTTCAAGGCTGCATAGCCCGGCCAAGCCGCAGGGAACACGTAAACAGCAGCCGAGCCGGGCAGCAGGCGGGCAGGGCAGAGGACGCCAGGAGACCCTGACTCGTCAAGTCTCCTCGGCCACGGTTTCTGGGCACCTCGTGGGCTGCTCTGGACTCCGACTAGGGCCAGTAATAGATGGGCTGCAGCTCCCACCTGTCTTGGACGAGCCCTGCCTTCTCTGGCCTTGTCTGCCTCCAGCCCAGGCTGAGAGGGGGACCTCTGAAGACTCGAAAGGAATGTGACCCCTGGGCGCTCCTGAAACATAGGCCAGGCTTGACGCTCAGAGCAGGTCTGGAGGGTCCAGGGGTATCAAAGACAGGTCTCTAACAGACCCTCACATGCAAGCCTGTGGAGAAGAAACTACTAAACCGGCCCCATACGTGAGCCCGGAGTGAGCAGGCTTTCATTGTCTACTCCCACTAGCACTCAGTCTGGGGTGGTGGTAAGACAGAAGACAGAATGAGGAGAACAGAGACTCAGTTCCCTGGAAGATGAAAAGGATAGGACCCAGCCCAGAGGTCTGAGAGCCTGGATCTGACGGTGTGCGAGGGGGACGTGGGCTTCCCTGGAGGACTAAGGGGGTGCGGCCATGCGCTGAGGGCAAGTGAGGAGACTGGACCCTGCCCGGGGATTCTGAGGGGACACAATTCTGCTGTGAGGAGTCCTAAGAGGTCTGATCTTTGCTTAGAGGGTATGTTGGGCCTGACCCCTAAGCCTGAGGGGTCTGAGGGAACACAATCTGCTCTGAGGGCGGGTGAGGAGACATTTACCTTCCGTGAGGGTCCAAGGGGACCCAGCCCTGCTGAGGGTGAGGGAAGTGACGAGACCTTCTCCGTGTGCTCTGAGGAGACCCACCCCTTCCCTGTTGGCACATGAGGGGACATGGACCATTTGTGGGTGTCTGAGGGGACAGAGTTCCCCTCTGAGGGGATGTGCCGACAGAGTCTGAGGGGAGCAAGCCCTGTTGTGAGGGCGCCTGAGGGAACATGGACCCCCAGGGATCTGAGGGGAACACAGCTCTGCTCGAAAGGCATGTGAGGAGACATTGGACATCCTGAGGGGTTCTGAGGATGCCTGAGGAAACGATAGCTGCACTGTGTGGGCTACAGAAACACTATCTTCCCCTGAAGGCAATTGAGGGGATATGGACCTTTTGTGGATGTCTGCTCTGAGGGGGAGTGAGGGGACAATACCTGCTCTGCATGGTCTGAGGAGACAGAACCTTTCACGTGAGGTGACACGGACCTTTGTCAGGTGTCTGAGGGCATCTGAGGTGACATCGGACCTCCTGAGGGAGCGTAAGGGGGTCCAGCCCTGCTCTGAGGGTGAATGAGGAGATAAGACTGGTCCTGCGTGGTCTGAGGACACACAATCCTTCTGAGGGGACACAGACCTTCCGTGGAAGTCTGAGGGGAGACAGCCCTGTTCTGATTGCGCGTGAGAGGACATGAGTGGGTTGGGGAGAGAAACACTGAGCAGACACAGCCCTACACTGAGGGTTTACGAGGAGCATGGACCTCCTGAGGCCATCTGAGGAGACACAGCCCAGCTGTGAGGTTATGTGGGGGGACATGGGCCCTCTCTCAGGGGTTCTAATAGGGTCCTGGCTCTGCCTTCATTTTTAGGTGTGAGGTCTGACTGTGGGGACCTGGTCAGAGGGTGCTTGTGGGGTGGCTCTCATCGCCATGAAGGCTAGGTGGGTTGTGTTCAGCTGTATCCCCGCTGTCTCCTCAGCCAATTCCAGAATGATTCTGGCCTGAAGCTCCCATGGCCAACTGAAACAAGCCTTGCCTGGGGCAGAGGGGCCGGGGACTCCAGAGACAGGCTGGGGTCTGGGCCATGGCTGGCTCCCGGTGTTTGCTGTGTAATCCAGGGCAAGCTGCCTGCCTTCTCTGAGCCTCAGCTGCACTTCTGAGACCAGGATCCCGTCTAGGTCTCTTGACTTGCGTGGTCTCAATACCCCTCTTGGGTCCCCAGGCTGGGTTTTAGCTGCCTGTACCAGGACTTTTTCTTGGGCAACTAGGAGCCCTCAGCACGAAAGACCAAGGACATCCCCCAGTGACAGGCTCCCTCCTCCTTCTTCGGCATCCCGGTCATGCAGGCAGTGGGGGCCAAGGGAGTGAGTACAAGTTCTGTGTGGCTTCTCCCCATCCAAAGACTGGGGGTCAGGAAAGGGGCCAGGGGCTGGAGGCAGAAAATAGACACCTAAAACCATCCCTCTGGGCCTCTGCCTTCCATCTGTGAATGAAGGGCTGGGGGTGGGGGAGTGAGGTGGGGCCCTTCGTGCATTTGCATTAATTATGCTCCTCCACCACCTGCAGCATCCATTTTTGGGGAGAGAAGAGAGGAGAGTTTCAATTCTCCCAAACGACCCCTGCTTGGAAGGCCTGAGGGCTTAGTCTCAGTTCTCATTGCTGCGGGGTGGGTCCACAGCCAGCAGCTCTGGTGGGGGTCTCTGCTGATGAGCAGCCCCATGGGTCTCCTGTTGGCCTTGCTTCCCAGCGGTGAGGAGGAAGGGGGCGAGGCCAGGCTAGGAGGACGGGGTTCCGGGCACGGCACGCTGGGCTTGTGGCCACTGCAAGCTCCCTTCTCAGAGCTTCAGTACCTGTGGCTCCAGACTCCCAGGGCCTGGCGCACGAGGCCAACC